GTGGGTGTACTTCCAGAAAAATTCACTGGGGGTGAGCGGCCCGCTTCCCAAACCCCTTACCCTATTTATGATTAAAATCTGAGATTTTCCCTACCCTATTTTTGACCTGACAGAAAAATTGGATTCCCTCAATTTCTGACCGTTGACGCGTACACAACTACCCTAAACATAGTTTATGAAGGGCTTTTGTCGATGTTGTTATCGATAAAGATATAAAAGTAGCTTCTTTTAAAAAAACATACCCAATTCAAGACCAAAGTGCAAAAACTATTTATGACCAAAGTGGCCAACATCTTTGATTGGGGCCGCAAATACCTATATGGCTCATATAAGGGAGTACCCCCCGGATTCAAAGGTCGTATCTGTCAGTGGCGTTGACGTGCAAATAACGATCAACTGACGTGTTCTTTGATTGAACTGTGTTTACTGAACAATTCTTTGCCCTTTCAGTTCTTTGTCCGGTCAGTTCTTTGTCCAATTATCAACCTTTAGTAAACATATTTATTCCCTCTATTTTTGGGTCTTCGGACCGACCAAAGAAAGAAAAATTTGCTCTAGTGCGACCTATGCCTAACTCACAGAAAATGCCTTTAACATGGTCTTGCCTCAGGCGACATATAGGATACTTGAATGGGCGATATTGATGCCACGCTGCTTTGAATGAGCTCATTAGACTACTCAGAATCTCTTGGGTTTTAACACTTTTGTTTAAACAACTTAATTGACTCAAACGATTAGCTAAACTTAATGACAAGGAAAGTTTAGTCCTTTAGGCACTTACTGAGCTTTCTTATTGTCAATGATATAAACCCACATTCATCAGGGCGCCAGAAGTCGAAATTCCTGACGTGCAGATTGACCTCCTCAAGAGATAGTCTTTTGTAAAAAAAAATTGGACGCAATAATCTTCGCGTTGTTTTCGCTTAAGATGTTTCTCATTAACCAAGCTGACCCCATCTATTAAGATTGGCTTCAATTTGCATCGCGGTCTTTCATCAAGGAAAAAAAAAAACAAATAAACAGTGAAGTGTATTATTCGGTAGTGTAACGGTTCTTGCTCTATAATTTATCATGCTCTCTTGGCCCTGAGACCCCTCTCAAAGCCAACGCCTCACATTAACAGCAGGAAAATGTCAAAGATGGGCCCTCAGGCGGTACAGCAGATGCGAAAATTGCGTTTTGCAACCTTCAAAACTAGGCTAGGTGTTACTTTTTTACTATCGCAAACTTTTGTTGAATCATACTCTTCGTTTGTTGATAGTTGAAAGAACTGTCTTCAACTCAGAGAAAGCAAACAATAATATTTCGTGACTCCCACGATATGGCACAAACATCCACCTCAACAATTGATTGCAAACATCCTAGCAATGTTGATTGTCTAATTCTTCTTTTTATCAATGGGGTCATTTGTAACAGGTTTATCTATCGTAGCCGCATTTGATTTTGCCATCGGTGCCGTTAACATGTTGGCGGAGCTGAGTCGCCAAGTAGTGCTGGGCATAACAGCTTTGAAATACACCATTCTGGTTGGATTGCTGAGAATCGCTTCATCTATTCCTTACGTGAAAGAACGCATCCAAAAGGCCGAGGAACGGTACCTTCTAGTTCCATACCAGGATTTCTGGGATGACTACGGCAGTAACAAGATGCTGGCAGCTGTCTTAAAGATAGTATTAGGCGATATAAAGAAGACGGCTCGACTTGGTACTCCTGCTCCAAACTGCAAGCTAGTTTCGACTGACGGCAAAGAGTGCAGACTGCTGGATTTCGCTAGAGGTAGCCGGCCATTGGTTGTCAACTTCGGCAGCTATAGCTGACCTCCATTTTTCATCAATCTCATGAATAACTTCACCAAGGTTGTTCGAGATTTTGAAGATGTGGCAGATTTTGTAATTGTCTACATCTGTGAAGCTCACCCAACTGATGAATGGCGGTGGAATGTGAGTGATTTTTGTTTTCGTGCCTTGTTGGCAACAAATGTATGCATCAGTGCCATATGCTGGTTCATATCTACCCTATACCTGTCAAAATAATTTAAAACCAGTAACTAACTAACCATTCGAACTGCGCTCCACTAAGAGAGAGAAACGAAGAAAATGAAACCAAAGAAAAACATTGTGCAGGGAACAAAATTGAAAGTTTGAACTCCTAATTACAAATTCTAATTTTGACACGAGGAAAAATGTTTGCTCCTATTGATTGATTTGCACTTTGGGATTTTAATGCAAAACGAGCGCCTGGATAATTGTTTTACTTTATAGATTATCGCATCCGTTCGTGCTAAATATTAGAAATATGCATATTTGATATAAGGGTTATAAATTGCCACAATAACAATAATAATCTTACCGAAATTGATCGCTTTCAACAGAAAATCAGGAATTATCAGAAATCTTTTGTTGATGACATCCAACATGGCGGCGATGACGTAATAAGAAAACCAATGCAACAAAAATATCAGATATTACAATAATGTGCGCGGACTCTGACCGGCAGACTGGTGAATGCTTTTCTTTCTTTTGCTTCTTCTACAGAACAATATTGAAATTCCACAGCATAAGAGTTTAAAGGACCGCTGTGAAGCTGCAGAGAAGTTGAAACAATCCAGTGGCTGTCCTGTTCCAATCATGGTGGACACGTGGAATAACGAGGCCAC